CAACAGGAATCAAGGACACCCTATACAGAGTTTTTGGTTGCAGAAGAGCTAGGAATAATCATTCCTTCACTGACACAATGGAAGTTTACATTCATTTTTTAAAGAAATAAATGTCAATTTCTCAAATAAAACTCTAAAGATAGTTTCGCTCCCAAATGTACCTTGGAAAAGTACTATCAATATTTTATGGTTCCTTTATGAGCAATAAATATTTAATAGAAAAAATTAGAAACATGAAATGTTAAGAAAACACTCACATTTAATCACACAGAAATTATCCACTAACATTTTGAGTAAATATTTCTAGACATTTTATATCCTAAAAAAAGTGAGAATTGGTCTTATCACAACTTCGTTACATTACCTATCTGTATATCTATTTCCAGTAATTCAGTTCTAATCACAAAATATGATATACTCATCCATTTGTAAAGTCACAAGTAAAAAGAAATATAAAATATCAACAGTTTCAACTTGGTTTCTCTTGAGATCACTGCATAGTATGAAAATAGGTTTCCAAACTAAATGGAAAAACATTTCCACATATGAAAATGCATAAAACAAATGAACTTACATGCTAATTTAGCAAGAATTATCCCAACTAATCTCACCTCAAAGCACTCTACTATATGTCAACATACTGTCCCTCAATGAAATTACAATAGGATACATGAAGAAGAAAGTAAGAAAAAGAGAAGGAAAAAGGATTTAAAAATAGGGAAGAAGAAAAGGGGACAAAAATCTGCATAAAAAGGATTTCAAAATAAATATTATAATTCAATTACACTATAAAAGTAACAGTAACAATTTTTAAGATAAAAATCTACATATTTCTCTTTTAAATCATCAGTAATGACCATGATTTTTACTGCTTACGATTTGAAAGCATCATGCAACAGAAGCTTTTTTTTAGTTTTTGGTTTTGGTTTTTTTGTGTGTCTTTTTTCTGAAACAGGGACTGCCTGTGTAGTGCAAGCTGGCTCTGAACTCACTAAGTATCCCAGGCTGGTCTTGAATTTGCAGCAATCCTTCTGCCCCAGCCTCTGGACTGAGGGGATTAGAGGTGTGCTCCACCATGCTGGGCTAACAAAAGCTTTTTATTATGTTAATAAACTAATTTTTCTCAGACATTTCTATACCTACAAAAATAGGAAAAGGGATTTGAACACCTGCCTAATTTATGTCATGATTATGATTTTCACTGACTGCTAAGATCACTTCTAGAAGAAAGTTCATAGAACATTCTAGAAAACAGAAAAAAAATTTGTTTTTTCCTATGACCTTAAAATTCTAGCACTTAAAAAAATGAGAGAGCTGTAAATCATCCCTAGTTAACAGCAAAACCTTCCAACATTCCCCGCATAGATTTTAAAGTATTAAATTAACTTTAAAACAAGACTCTATAACTTGAAATATCCAATAATTCATACTTTGTAGTTTTTTTCAAATGGCTGATTTAACACATTTCACAGTGACACGAAGTCACTGGACAAAGAAAAAATATTCCAAACACTCTATCCATGCAATCATTCATAAAAATATCAAACATGGGGCTGGGGATTTAGTTCAGCGGCAAAAGCGCCTGCCTGGCAAGCGCAAGGTCGTGAGTTCAGTTCCCAGTACCGGAGAAAAACAAAAAACAAAAACAACAACAACAAAAAAAAATATCAAACACGCACAGCACAACAATTCAGTGTATGACCAAGTCATATGTGACATACATTTAAAATATATTAAGAAAGCATTACAAAAATGAAACATTTAGAACATCAAATACATCAGAAGGTGTTGACAGTAATGCCACCAACATAAAAACTGTATCCTAAGTCTAGAGAAGAAATTTAACTCTAGCTATTAATCAATCTTTCAGAGGAAGAAAATAAAGCTACTCAAACTCCTCATATAAAACTAAAATCAAACTAAAATTTAAACTTTCTAAGAAATTGGATATTTATGTTATCCTACTCTGATGAAGAGATATTATTTAACCTGATAAACAAGTATTTTAACTACATAAAAATAAAAACTTCTATGGTGTACTTTGAACAAAGAAAATGTGCAACAAAATCCAAAGCAGGCCTCATTTTAAGGTATTACATTAAAATGTTAGATATTTATTTTGATTCTATTATAAAAATTAAAGCATCCCCCACACAGTTAAGTAATTGTGCAAAGTGCTGTTTGTGTAAGAAATGTGCACGAAAAGTTTCCATAGCTAAGGGCAAAGTCGAGCTTAGAAGGACAGCATCACAGTTCTAGTCTTCACTTTGATCCTGCTCTCGCAAAAGGAGTTTGTCCCTCTGTGGGATTTCCTGCGCTCTTCTCCCAGGACAGGAATAGGACCTTCAACAGCAACCTCCCCTACACCTTCAAACAGAACAATGTTCCCCTTTTGACTTACTATTCTCCCTCTCGATTCTGCTTCTCTCTTCTTGCTCACTAGCACACTACTAAAATTAATGTAAGAGCCACATCCCTTTCGTTTCCTGTCCATTTCCCAACTTTCTAATTAGGCCCATTCCCTGAGCCAGGCATTCTCATGATCTCCACTTCCCACCAGCCCTGCCTATTCTCTGTACTCTCTAAAGCCTGAAGCTGCTCTAGATTACATCTTGCTGCGACCTCTAGCAGTACAACCTCCAAAATGCCTCTAGCCCTTGAATCTCGCAAAGCTCTAGGCTCTGAACTCTGCAACTATTCTTAACGTCTCATCAAACTCCACCTACCTAAAGTAACACTTTAAACCTCTAACATGGCTTCTCTCACCTGACAGTCAATTAATCGGCTGCTAATATTTCCATGTCACAGAAGCAAACTATTAGGTGCCCTTCAGTTTGGCCCTCCAATCACTCTCAGAGCATCCTTTACTTTCTAAAAGAGTTCCCTTCCTATCTACAAATCACGGCTTCTTTTTTTCTTTTTGAGATGAAATCCTACTGTATTGTTCAGGCTGGTCTTAGGCTCAAGATCCAATTTCACAGCAATCATACTAACACAGAGTCCACTAACAGCACTCAAAAACTAATTGGTCTCCTTTGGCCATTTTTGTTCATGTCCAATCTAACCGTAACGCCACCAAGCCAATTTTCCTAAAGCACTTTTATTAGACCATCATAGGAGCTGCAGTTCAGGAGGCTGAAGCAAGAGGAGCTTGAGCCCATGAGCTCAAGACCAGCCTGAACACTACAGTAAGATTTCATCTCAAACTGGGAAAAAAGCCAGATTTCTAGAAAGGATTTGGGATTTTTAAAATAATACTCCCTAACAGAAGTGAGTAAGTGTAAAATGGACAACTAATGAACACTGCTCAGACCTACCGCAAGACAATGCAATTCTAAGAAAGCATTGTAATTCTAAGAAAGACAGTGTAATTCTAAGAAAGCAAATAAATGTAAATAAAAGGACTCTGGTAATGAATTTTGTTGCAGTATTACTTATGTTAGCAAGACCCCTTAAATATTCAAAAGTAACAAAATTATTGAATATCTACCCAGAAGAAAAATGAGACCCCATATTTATAGAATTCTTACAGACATAAAAAATTCAAAATTATGCATAACATAGCATTCATACTATAACCTAATTTTGTTTAAATTTTGTTTAATTTTGTACAATTATACCAAAAAAGGAAATGCATACATAGACTATCCCTTATACGGGATTCTTGGCACCAGAGACATTCAAATTTTGGAGTTCTTCAGATTTTGTAATAGCCAAAACTTTTTATGTAACGATGATGTTCAAAAAGTTTTGGATTTTGGAGTATTTCCAAGTTTAAGTTTTCACATAAGAAATGCAAAACTTGCATAATAAAATGTCAACAAATGTTTCAGGGTTAAGATTCTGAAACATTTTATTCTTCTGATTTTCTGTATTTTTCAATTTATAAATTACAGGTACTGTGTAACAAATGAAGTATCATGAAAACTATTTTAAATCCTTTTCCTTTTCTTCAAAGTATTTAGACAGCATATATGTAAAAAGGAATACAGGGGGCAGGGGGGTCAGTGCTCTATATAGCCTGAAATTTAAAATCCAAACTTCTCAATTTAGCACTCAAGGCTGCAATACAATACACAGCCTGACAATAGTGCAATTAATTCCATACATAAATCCCAAAGACACGGTCAGGATGGGCCACTTATCTTTTTCTTACACTTGTTTTGGCCTCAAATTCCTTCTTTGCCTCACCTCCACATATCAAAATACTGTGCTTCTCAGTCTTTGGACATAGAGTACGGTAGAAATTACGGACCATAACGGCTTCTCCTTCTCAAAGCCTTCCTGAATTACTTTGCCTCTCCATGTTTTTCCCCATTCTTCCCCTCCACCTCAACAGTTGTATGCTGCATACTTACATCTTGATCAACGGCAAAGTACATGTATAATAGTCCTGTAAGATGATCACAGAGCTAAAAGAAAAACTTCCACTGCCTGAGTGACATCATTGTTGTCATACTTTTTATCATTATTTTAAAGTGTACTCTTCAATAAAAAATTTACTATGAAAAAATATACCATGTTAGATTAGAAGCAGTGCCATACATCTCATGTTTTATTTTATCTCTTGATTGGGTCAAGAGGCCCACACTGAGTAACTGAGCTATACCATTTAGGTCTGTGTCAGTACTGTATGATGATCACACAGTGACAAAACTACCTGATGACACATTCGGTGAAGTGTATCCCCATGTTAAGCAGTGCACGACTGTCTCTACTTTCTATGTAACTCATTTTGGTATTTATGATCTTACTTTATTACTTAACTAATTTTGTATATATCTGTTGTTTCATCAATAAGGAAGTTAGTTTGTCAAGGATAAGGCCTGAAGTATTTCATATTTCTTTTGAATGCTGTTTCTTTACCCTGTACTGAAAGTTCAACACAATACTAAATGTCTAACATCCAATTTGCAGTGAACAGCATTAAAATAGTTCATACGTTATACAATTACAATATGATTCTGCCACATCAATATGTCATGAAAACAAATTTTTACCCCAAGGTTCCAACTATTAAGGCGAGCTTCAATGTCACTGTCATCCAAAGAAACACGAGATTTTTTCAAATGAATTTCCTGAAATACAAAAGAGAACACAGAGGGAAGGAGGGAGGAAAGAAGAAAGAAGAGAAATAAAAGAGAGAACAACGGGAGAAAGAGATAAAGGAGGAAAAGGGAGGTGGAAAGGAAAAGAAAGCAAACAAGGAGGAAGCAAAGAAAACAAGAGAAAATACATGTCATTCAGAGTAATGACAGTTCTGTATACTTATTTGGTAATGCTATATCGCTCTCAGAGGAAAGCGTTCTGTTACAACTAAGCTGAAGTTCTCAATTCTAATAGCTATTTATTATAGCTGCTTAGGGCTACGAGATGCCTTAACAATATGTTCACACAGTAACTAGGTTTCAAAAAAAGCATCAAAAGAATATTTTAAAAATTAATCCAGACTCCTTTCTGTAAGTTCTTTCACAAAACGCTTTAATTGTGGTATACCACAGTAGCTTGAAAGTGGCGGGGGTGGGGGGACACACTTGAAAAGATGAATTATTTACTCTTGTTAAAATTAGTTAACAGGGAAGTTTTGTGTCGATGTCCAAGAAGCTCTTTGTCCTTAAATTAATTCCCACTCATACACTGAATATAAAGAGTAATAAGCTTTGGATTCACATCATGAAAACACAATTATACTGATTCTTTACTTTCTAAAACATAAAAATCCCATGGTTTTTCCTTTTTATAATTTATGATATTACATATTTATCAACCAGATTAAAACTGTAATAAACTGAAGACAATCTCAGATCTGTACCTGGACCCGAAAGCTCTGAAAGCTTAGAAAGGTAAGTGCATATAAAACAATAATGACGGGGCTGGGGATTTAGCTCAGCGGCAAAAGCGCCTGCCTGGCAAGCACAAGGTCGTGAGTTCGGTTCCCGATACCGGAGAAAAACCAAAATAAATAAATAAATAAATAAAACAATAATGACTATTTTACAGACCCGAAAGTATTATTTTGAAATTAAATTTGTTGGCACATCATTTTCATACTTTTGACAAGCCTCATTACCAACAAATGAACTCATTTTCCTGGGATTGTTTAAATTAATATGAAGTGACAAAGAATAATAGACTACCATGTTCTGCATATTTTACTGGTTTTCCAAATTTCTATTCAACAAAATGTTGAGATTCTTTTATTTATATACTATATTAAAATTCATTATCACTTCTACTGGTGGTCCCTTGCTTTTTCTACGTTTTTTTGTGAATAAAAACTTCTCAAATAAAAAAATGTACCTGCCTTCTTTAAGTAAATGTATTGATTACAGTTACATGATCATTATTAAGAATGGGCTGCCCTTTACATCAAATTTTATTTAATGACAGTTCTCAAACTATCACTGAAGAAAATGTAATGAATTACTTTAAAGCAATATGGTCCATTTGCAAATAAAAGTCACATTATCCAAGATAGTAGAGTTAATAAAAAAAAACTCTACTAGGAAAGCACAACTCCTCTACAAAGTTTGTTCAAATCTGGTCTATGTTAAACAAATAAATTCAAGAGAGGCACTCATTTTTAAAGATACAGACCGTTCAGTTGAATCAGAAAAGCAGTATTTTCTGCTTCACTGCAAGTTAATTCCAATTTCTTTTCAATTTTATGACCACTTGGTTATTCTAAATAAAAGGAGGAAGGAAAATTTTGAAAATATATGGTTTCAGTTCCAGGTACCGGAGAAAAACCAAAAAAATATATATATATATATGGTTTCAAAGTTATGCTTAGATGTACAAGGGAAAGGATAGACTGACTAACATACCTCAGAATTACTGTGACAGCAGAAGGAAAACCATGGAATATACTAAGCGCACCACTATCTTTGACATCAAGATGTTCACAAAAACCTTCAGACTTTATTCACTGTTTTTCAAGTAATCACTGGAACTTTAACAATATGAAATTGAAACATTGTGAAGTTATTTTTAAACAACAAAAAACAAAGGTAAAATCTGATCTTACACAATTCTTAGGGATAATACTTTGTCCATCTTCTTTGTAAGTTGGACTCACAGAATGGGATCTTGTTTGCAGCTTCCCAGGGTACTGTTCTACACTATGAGACCAAAATAGTAACAATCAAAATTTAGATAATTTAGAGGACACAGAGTATTCAGAGCTAGGATTATTTTCTTTTCTTTTGGAAATTAGATGGTAGTTTACATTACTAGTGATTCAAAAGTAGAAAAGATATAATAACCATTTGTATGTGTCACATTTTATTTCATTTAGGTTAAATCAAAAGTAAAATGTCACATAAATGCCATATGCTTCCTTATAAATATTATGCTGTGTTTAAGAGGGACAGCAATGATCTGTATGTTAATCTTTTTCCCTTCTTTTCCCTTTTTCCTAAGTGTAGGATGAGACAAAAATGAAGCTTATATTCTGAGAAAATCTGTTTTAAAAGAAAATTAGCCAATTTTATTGGATTCAAAATAAAACATTGAAGTACACAAAATAAAACTTTCATCAGGCGTGTTCCCACATGTCTGTTGTAATCCCAGTACTTGGGAAGCTGGGGCAAAAGGATCACTGCAAGTTCAATACCAGCCTGGGCTACAAAGTGAGCTCAAGGCCAGCCTGAACTGCATAGCGAGACCCTGTCTCAAAAAGACCAAAAATTAAATACATAAAGAAAATTTTCATTAAAGTTTCAATTAATATGAAATCATGTAATAAAGATATTTCAGTCTTTGATTTTAAAAGTATCATGTGAAATGTGAAAAGTACAGGATAAGCAGGTAAGTGGTTTAAATGGATTTCACCAGACTATTCTCTTCTTAAAAAACAAACAAAAATACCACTTTCAAATATACCAGTTTAGCCTGTAGTATCTCTTATATGTTTTAATTCAAGCTACGTCAAAGAAAGTCCCCAAATTACGAATACTTATTCTCTAAACAGCTGCTTCAAGATATAGGAAATGAAAACTGATCATTAAAAGAATGGATCCCACACATAGATACAGTTGTGCTTTGCACAATTTTACTTAACCCCAGTCCACTGCAGTCTGGGAAACGTAAGGAAAAACTTCCAAAAATAATAAATTCAAATCTTTTATATAACTTTTTATAACACTCTATAACTGTCTTATTTTATGTTACTATTATTAATATATTATGATGCTTAATTTAATTAATAAATATATTAATTATTATAATTATTACATATTGTTTTTATTATATATTATTTTTATTATATATTGTAATTATATATTATTTAATATATTATGATGCTTAATTAATTTAAACTGTACATTATTACAAGCATGCGTGCACGGAGAAAGCACAGCGTATGTAGGATTCAGTACCCTACAGTTTCAGAGGCCTTGAAACCTATCACCTGGGATAACCTAACCCCTCTGTGTAATGAACTAACATTGTTAACTTTTAACCACAAACCATGTCAGGATTTCCTTCACAAATAATATATCATACTAAGAATTTCCAAAAGGTAAATTACTAGTTGAAAAAGACAATGTTAAAACTAATGCCTTTTTGATAGTAAAACTGGTAAAATAATATTCTTTAGACTGGTTATTAGGTAATGGGGAATTTCTGAAAAAACTGTTTTAAAGAGAGGTATTGCTTTATACTCCTATAATGTATTTCACTTGTCCAAATTTTAGATAAAAGCAAAGAGAAACAGACATGGTAATATTTTGTGGAAAAATTTCATCAAAGTGCTTGAGCTGAAATAAGCACTTAGAACTCAGTATGTGGGACCTGACATACTAAGAAGTAGACTATTCTTCTTTAAGAATTGATTAAACAATCATAAAAAGAGCTATGCTTAAAAATTGAAAAATGCTGAAATATTAAAGGTAATTCTTCTCATAGAAAATATTAATAAAAAGAAGTCTGAAACATTTATCTATTTATTGCACAGGGTGCATACATAAAACAACACACTCTTAATTCACATGCAGCTAGCTACCCTCTGCACCAATCAACCTTTTTCCCTTCACGACAAAATGTTAAACAAGTTCTTGGATCCATGCCCTAACCTGCTGTTTGTTTTTCAATCAACTATTAATTGACTTGTACTCATCCTGAAAGCACTGTAAGATCCTCAGTGATCTCCTAGATACTCCAGCAAATGAATTCTCATCTACCTTAACCCCAGTTGAACTCATCAAAATCTTAGGGACAGTGTGTTAAGGATGCCACATTGGCTCCATAGAACCATTCTTTTCAAGTTCTCATCCTGTCCTTTAGAAATATCCCTCACAGGAACCTTGGCTAGCTTTTCTTTCTCTACCCACTCCACACATACTGTAATTCCAGGGTCCTGTGTCTAACCTCATTTATTCCCCTTCTATATGCTTTCCTGGGTAACTCAATATACTAAATGGAAGCTTTGCTTACCAAATCTACATCTCCAGTCCAAATTGCTTTCTTAGCCATTGCAAACACAAATTGAATAGCCCTGACTCCAATTTGACATGTTCAAAACTAAATTCATTAAGTTGCTCCTAAAACATGCTCCAGAGAAGACCAAGTAAAGCAAAATTATTGCAGAAGCCAGCTTCTTGTAAACACAACTGAGCCAACTAAAGGAGAAAGTCAGTATCATTGCTAAAATCTGGCTGGCACAAAAAATATACTCATAGAAGTTTAATTTCTTGCCATAAGACTGTCTCAAGCTGGGAAAACAATTAACTTGAACACTAAGCAAGTACAAAGACAACCTTAAATTCAGAGTGATGGGACTAGTGGTCAGGGTGAACAATGTAACAGCAAATGGGAGGAAAAAAAATCAACCTTAAAAGTCTCCTTATGAATAGCAATCAATGAAAACAGTCTACAGTTGGTGCAAGAAGCATGATCTTGGTGAATTTATGACACGAATCTTGTACCAATTAGAAAAGGAGACTGAGTGTGTCCTAATTAATTTCAGGGTGTCAAAATTAACACAGAAAGAAAAAATTTCAGTGCCTTAGTAAAATTCCTGCACATACTTTTTGCTACTCTCAACCAGTAAAATTGCAGGAAAGCTAACTTTCTCATTCACTTTTCCTAATGCTAAAGTATATAAAACACTCTCAAAGAATCTGTGTTGATTCCAAACAATAGCAAAATATAGACTTGCTCTTGCCCAGATAAAAAGAGAAGGAATAAATGGAAGCGACTGCCCTCTGGGAGACATCCAGATACCGGGTAAGAGGCTCCTCTTGCATCATAAACAAGCAGGAAAACAACCACACTAACACAGGCAGGAAAAGGTAGAGCAACCTCTTGCCATGACCCCTTTTCTCAACAAAATCACATGAACAGGAAAAAACCTTCAGCTCCCAGCTTCCTGCTGAGGAGGGAAGGGGTCACTGAACTGTACATCATCTGTTATGGCTTGTGTCTCAATGTCCCCCTAAAGCCTCATGCATTCATCGGTGGGCCTTTTCCAGGGTGATTGGGTCTGGAGCAAATGATGCTAGGACAAAGCTGTGTGATTACTAAATTAGTCCACTGATTGGTTCCACATAGTTCTGGGTAGGATTAGGGTGCCCCATCCTGAGTGTGAGTGCTACCCTTCCTAAGGGGTAAGGTAGCCTGGGTAAAATATAACAGTCAGAAAGAGGACTAGTGTTGTCACTTGTCACTTGCTTGCTGCTTGCTTCCTTCTGCCTGCCCTGCTTTGCCATGAACTGTTTCTCCTCTGCCACGCCTCTCTGCCATCCCACCTTGCCTGGGAGCCAGCCAACTATGGACTGAAACCTCTCCAAACCGACAGTCAAAGAAATCTTTCCTCCTTTAACTTTGGGTGTCGGGTATTTTGTCTCAGTAAAGAAAAGTGTAACTAAGACAACAACCAACACACTTGCTTTTCCAGGGACCAGATGAGGGTCTGAAAGCTATCTTACTGGACCTGAAGCTGGAAGAAAAGAATCCCAGTTTGGAAAGTGCCAAGAACAAAGTCTACAGTTTGGACTAACATGTAGTAACTGGTCTCAACTCCTCCCACCAGCTCAGCCAAATTAGCCGGTAAAAAGCTTCAAATCCCAGCTCCCCTCACAGGTAAGAAAGGTGTGAAGCACCTATCCAGCATTCTGGATTTTTAAGGAAGCTGCCTCAAAGACTGGATTCCACCCATAAGCACTGACAGAACCGGCATATTCTAGATGCCTGGGAATCACTGAGAACAAAGGAGACAACTTTGATTGGTAAGTACTCAGAGCTATGAAACAATTGGGAAAACTCACAGCTCATAGCTTGTCTCTGAGGAGGAGAGAAAACTGGAGTGTGTGTCTAATACTTACACCTCAGGAGGACTGCCCAAGGGATATGCTTCCATCACACCTGGCTGATTCTCTGGAATCAAGGACAGTCTAGTTACCTGGAGAGAGCTGAAAATAAAACAGCAAGTTAAGCCAACAAACAAAACAGTTGCTACCACTCCAGAAGGCTATAATAAAGAAACAGGCATTAGAGACCAGAGAATACAAGCTCCAAAGTGAGAAACCAATAAATCCCGTGAGTTAGGGATCTGTACATTGAAGTGCAGAGAAGACGCAGCCACAGGAAACGTTGGAGATGACCTTACAAACACTACTCAGGGTGATTCTTGAAGGTCTTCCCTGTAAAAAGAGCGAGTTCACAAAAGACTGGGCAAGGGGGCTCTTTTTCAACTGCACAGAAACCAGCTCGAAATGCAAAGGAACAGGAAATACTGTACAAGTGAAGGAATGAAATGAACCTCCAGAAACTGTCCACAAAGAAATGTAGGTATATGAAGTATCTGGTAAAAATGCAAAATGATTGTTATCAAAATACCCAATAAGCTTAGGAAAATTATACATGAGCGAAATGAGAATTTAAACAAAAATTTTAAAAGAAAACAAAAATTTGGGGGCTGAAGCATACTAGCTAAACTAAACAATGGACTACCTAGAGGGGTTCAACAACAACCCTGGCCAAAGTACAAAGAAAGAATCATAAAACTCAGAACTATCACTATTTAAATTATCCAGTCAGATAAGCAAGAATAAGAAAGAAAGAAAACCAATAAATAAAGGTTAAGAAACTATGGGATGAATCAAGCCCACCAATATCTGGACCACTGAACTGAAGAAAGAAAAGGCAGAGAAAAATGAGCAGTAGGATTATTTTTAAAAATAATGTGAGGAGGGAAATGAACTTCTAGATTTATGAAGCTGAAAGAACCCCAAACAAGTTCAATGTGAAGGGATCTACACTAAAACACATTAAGAATCAAATTATCAAAAGTCAAGACAGAGACTGTTAAAACCAGAAAGAGAAAAGTAGCTCCTTACATAGCTGAGCGCACCCATAAGACTCTGAGTGCATTTCTCCGCAGAAACCACATAAACCAGGAGAGAAGGGGAATATTATGCCCTGCAAGGTCTTCCTTTAGAAATGAATGAGAGAAAAAGACTTTCCCAGACCAACAGAAGTTGAGGGAGTTCATAACCACCAGTACTACCTAGGAAAAAAAAATGCTAAAGGGAGTTTTTCAAGTTCATATGTAAGGACAATAATGAACAGCATGAAAATATATGAAAATGGAAGACTCACTGATAAAGATAATTACATATTCAAATACAAATTACTCCAGGTAATGATGAGGCACAAACCATTGGCAACTTTAGTATATAAGCCAAAAAAAAAAAAAAATAGCATAATTATAATAATTTCTTTATGGATATATAAAAAGGTAAAAATTAGTCAGGTATGGTGGCACACACCTGTAATCCCAGCATTCTGAGAGGCTGAGGCAAGAGGACCACAAATGCTATCCTAGCCTGGGCAACCTGGGAACCTAGTAAGACCTTGTCTCAAAATAAAAAACTTTAGATCCAAATGAATTTTAGGAATGTTTTCTCTAGTTCTGAGGTATGTTAATGATATTTTGATAGGGACTGCATTAAATCTGAATAATAATTTTGGAAATATAGCTATTTTCACTATGTTGGTTCTTCCCACCCAACAGCAAGGGATATCTTTCTATTTTCTGATACCCTTTTGGCCCTCTTTTTCAGAGTACTGTACTTTTCAATGTGTAGATCTTGTAATTCCTTTGTAAGATTGATTCCTAAGTATTTCATTTTTTCAGTGATATTATGAAACATGTGGCTTCCCTAATTTCTCTCTCAGTGAATTTGTTATTTGTGTACAGGAATGCTACTGATTTTTGAGCGTTGTCTCTGTATCCAACTGTACAAATGAATATGATTATCAAATCTAGAAGTCTTTTGGTGGAGTTTTTGGTGTCTTCTATATCATGTGCAAAAAAAATGATAATTTAACTTCTTTTCCTATCTTTACTCCTTTTATTTCTTTCTCTTGTCTAATTGTCCTGGCTAATGTTTCCAGAGCTATATTGCATAGGAGAGGGATTCATCAGGAACCAGAAGAGAACTAGAATAACAAAACCAATTCTAGGCAACAAAGGCAAGGCAGGAACATCTCAACCCCTGAAATAAAATTACACTACAGAGTCACTGTGATTAAAAAAAAAACAAAACAAAACAAAACAAAACAGACATGAGGACCAATGGAACAGATTAGAAGATGCATAAACAACTTGAAACACACTCAGCCACCTTATCTTTGACAAAAGGTCCAAACACCTTCACTGGAAGAAAGACAGCCTCTTTGATAAACAGTGCTGGAAAAACTGGTTTTCTACAAACTGAAGACTAAAACTAGACCTATGCCTGTTGCCATACACTAAACTAAAATAGAAATGGATCAAAGATCTGAATATTAAAATACAAACACTAAATCTGCTGGAAGAGGGAATAGGTATAACTCTTAAAGACACAAATATAGGCAAAGACTTCATGAAAAAATTCCGTGATGGCACAGGAAATACTACAAAGAATCAACAACTGGGATCTTTTCTTATTAAAAAGCTTTTATCGAATAAAGTGACTGACAAGGACTGTTCAAACCAGAAGGAGAAATTCTAGAAGGAGAAAATTCTAAATTTTCTAAATTCTAGAAGGAGAAAAAAAAAAAAAAACAGAAGCTGAGGATACAATAAAGAAACGGTGCTGACAATGTCAATCAAGACTGCATCACCGAAGAGCCTTAGAAAGTTATTTTCACACACCATTTTAACCTGGGACAAAAACGTGCTGCACTGTAAAGGATGGAGACTGAAGATCTGCCAGGCTCCGGTTCCAGGAAGAACTAAAGACAGTAGGAAGGATGATTCCCAAGAGGTGCGGGTGAAGCAGAGTTCCCCACATGAAACAGGAAACTCACTTAGAAAGCAGAGGCTGGTATGGAGTTCCTTACTCGTGAGAGGAAGATTAAAATAAGATCTGGTGACCACTGCTGATGGCTGCAGCTTATAAGAAGCCGCAGCCTAAGGAATGGCAAAGGGCACAGGTACAGCCTCAAACCATGGCCTAAACCATGGCTGCCTTGGCATTTAACTTGTGATGTGCTTCTATCTATGTATGAGGGCCATGTGGTAAGTAATATCGAAAGATGGCCCCAATAACCTACATCTCCTAGTTTTTATAGTCTTATAAGGGTTCTCTTCTACACTATATCCAGGCTAGGTTTGTGGCTCACCTTATTCAATAAAATATAACAAACTGACATTTCAAGCCTTCAGATGGCCTGGAAGCTTTCTCTTCTACTCATTTACAAGCCCTAAGCAACTTCATAAGGAGTCCAGTTTCCCTGCTGGAGAGGAGAGACGACATGAAAGGGCCATGAGGAAAGGCCACATAAAGAAGGAAAATTCTGACACTCTATGGAAAGAGAATTCCAGCTTTCATATCTAAGCCCAGCCTGCCAGCCATCCCCACGACCAAGGTGCCGGGTATATACGTGAGTTAGGTTCAACGGCCCAGTCAAGTTCCGGTTGAGCGTAAGTCAACCCGAATGAGAAGAACTGCCCAGTTGAGTCCTGTCAAAACACAGACAAATCAAATAATGAAATCACTTCCATTTTAGTTGCTGAGTTAAGATGGCTTGCTACACAGTAATAAATAAAACATAAACTGGCTTCTAGAAAATGTGTTAAACGACAACAAAAAAGTTTTTGTTAACATGTTACTACCACATATCGTACCAACTGTTAGAACAGGCCGCTAGCAGAGGCTAAAAGGACCTCAGGGACACTGGGAAGGCTGGAAGGATATGGAGGGAAATGTTAGCTCAAGTTGAACAAAAAGGCAACCCATATTATGTGGAGAAGGAAAGCTGGCAACAGAGTCGCCTGTGATAACATGGAAAACCGAAAATATACTTAATGAACTTGTATAAAAATTGTCTGAAGAGAATTCCAGGTAAAATATCAAAAATGTCAAATGATTTATTTTATCTGTGGCTGAAAAGGTAGCAATGGAAATGAAGAAGGAAAGGTTCAGATTTCAAGTGTGCTCTAAAAAGTACATTTCTAAGGCAGAACGTGTAAGGTCGAAAAACAAACTATTTTTCATTTTCACTTGCTTATGCCAGGAAGACTGATAGAAAAAAATAATTCAAGGGCAAAACTCAAATTCAAGGTTTTTCCGGCAAAACATGCATTTAAAATCTCAAGAATACACTTATAAACCCTTTGTTAAGACCTCACAAAGAGTATGACGAGGGCCTCAAAGATTTTATCAACAAAATCAAAAGACTTCTAAGCATTTTTGAGGTGTACTTCTTAAAATTTTTGTGACAGATAGGAAGAGTTCTAAGAGTCTTAAGTGTTGTTCACAGCATTCTGATTATCGTAACAAAACAGGAAAAACGTATCAAAGAAACTTTTAATATGGTATCTGTCTAAAGAAGTGGATTGTAATTTAAAACATAAAAGGCCAGAAAATTTTTAAAGGAATTATGCGAGTTTCATTGGAAAGGGACAGAGTTCAAACTGAAGAAAATCTTTTGACTCTCCAAATTCCTACAAATAAGAAGCAGGCTGAGAAAATGGCGCGGCTTAAAGCAAGTTATTTCTTGAGGTAAAAGAACAATAACTCAGATGGAAAAGCCAAGCGCCAGAAGGATGGAACAAGCAAACACTGCCCAGGGCAGCAATACGCCCGAGTCAAGAGTCAGAGAGCACATGTCTGCACAGATGTAGAACTGCTCTAGTCACTGGCATGAGCATCCCCATTTCCCTTCTTTTTGCGTGGGAAAGTCTACTGCAGTTTTCCAGTCCCTTTCTCACTACTGTCTGTGGGCTGCGGGAAAGGGGAAGAGGAAACTGGGTTCTTTTTGTTCACAGGTCTTCAGGTTGAAAGAAGACATCCCAAGGAGACCTCAGCCACACCTGTACCTGATCTCCATTCAGTTTATTGAGGTATAATTTTTGCACAATAAAACTATACTCATCTAGGGCCAGGGATATAGTTCACTGCCCAGCAAGTGCAAGGTCTTG